TTTTTGAACTATTTCTTCTGTTATATATATATGTTTATTTTGTTAAGCTTCTATAGACACTATGTTTTTCAATAATTTATAGTATTTTTTAAGTGGAAACATTAATTTTTATTATTATTCACAAATTAATTATTTAATCCCCAGTATAGTTTAGTTTATTTTGAATATAGTTAATAGGTTCTTATAGGTTAATAGGTATGATACTTAATGCTAGTGTATACATATCAGGGGGTTTACATACAGTGGTTTCACGATGTTTATAAACTGAGAGTTTACTTGTATTCTGGGTTATGTGAAAGACTAAAGTATACTTGCTGGTTGGTCCGTAAGCTATCCGTGGTGGCCATCATAACCCCTTCATAAGTTCGTGTGTTGTCTGGTTTATATTTTCCAGTGTCTGGTTTAATATAAACTTGAATATCTTACGTATCTAGTCATTGTTTTTGCTAGAATATTTGAAGATACTTGTCTTCGACCCGTAATGAGGATTATTTTTAATACTAGCAATACATTTTTAGATAGATATAGATAGCCTTCATTCATTATTCTTTTCATCATTATATATTTATATATATATATATATATATATATATATATATATATATATATATATATATATATATAATATAGTCATGGGGACCATTCAGGCTTGTTCGCATATATGTATATATATAAGCCACAGATGAAAATAATGATGAAATGCAACTTATAAGATTTAACTGTCTTCGTTCACTTGCAGTCATGCAGAATACCAATACATACTGTAACATCATCTGCCAGAATTGGAATCATGTTACAAGCATGTTGGTTTGGCTCGGCATGAAAGGAGTTCTGCTTGGTCACAAAGACATGTTGACTTGTGGTAGGAGAGTGGGCTGTCTTACACTGAACACTGAGTAAGGACTGAGATTTGCATTCCAAGTCAGCCACACGCGTGTGGCTGACTTGGAATTCCAATCACATTGAAGGAGTGAATTTTCTCTAATTATCTATGATCGCACATTGAGTAAGGGGTTTGAAAGTGAAATAGCCGTTGATAACTTATAGTGCACATTTACGTAGTGAAAAGAGAATGAATGATCTTTGGCTGGATCAAAGTGCCCATTGTAAGGAGTGAATTCCCGCTCCTATGCCAGGTAAGTCCACTTCGGGCTGGCCATAGCCCGTACTACTTGCAACTTTTGTTCCGAGAAATTGAATCTAAAACAACAACAGTAGCTCTTGCATACAATCATTATATAACGAGAAGTTAATAGCAAGAAAAATTTCTGATTCGCTAGGAGTACACGTTGATGGATTGCAGGAAAGTGAAAGGGAGTTCTGGCTGCAGGGAGTTTATTACAAAGTGATCACAAGCATTGGATTGTGTCCAGTGATCTTAGGTGCTGGTTGGTGCCCCGAAGCTGTAGTCCTTAACTATGTACATACAAGAAGTGTCCTAGGGGTGTCCTTACGGGTTGGACGGGAAGTGTCCAGGTGGAGTGTCCATGTAGGGTGTAAGGGGTTGTGTCCTGGGGAAATGTCGTCGAGGATTGGACGCGTTCTGCCCTTGGAAAAGGACCCTCGTAAGTTCGATGCGATCTGTAATGGAATTATGTCGTCGAGGATTGCATGCGTTGTCTTTGGTGCGTGTGGGATGCGGAGAAATGTTTTTTATGGCACATTTATTGGGGGGTACTAGAAAAGTCTTAGTGTTTTTGTTAGAGGAGATGAACGTATGTCGAGAGTCGGTCGGGAAAGCCCACAGCCGTGAACTTGTACCGCGGAGAGATAACATGAAGGGGAAACTGTACAGGTAATCCTCGATGAAGTTAGAGGGCGACGTCCCCACGAGGCGACGTTCAGCTCGCATACAGGCCATCCAAGAACAGGCGCTCGGCGGAAGTCGTGCATGAGTTGTGATCAACCGTAGTGTGTCATATCTTGACAGAATTAGTTAAGCCGCGTTCCCTGGTCGTCCCACTTGGCTCCCTGAGCTTTCAGCTGCTCGACGATCTTCAGCAGTTCGACAACGTGCTCGGGAAGAGGTGGGGGCACGGGGATGAGGTCAGACTCTGGCTGGTAGCCGTTCTCGTCGGCGACGAAAGTGAAGGAGGCCGTTCTTCCATCATCGAGTGGGAAGCTAATAAACAGAACGAGTGGATTAGCCTCCCAGACACAACATTACCTTCGATATATAATCTATTCTTCAATTATGCTTTTGCATGCTTTTCTGAATGGAAATATATTTTGAGACATTAACTTTTTTCCTGTAAACAAAAGGAAACCAATATTGTCTTTTGCTATTCTAATGAAAAGGGGAGAGTCATTATCCCGCCCTCATAAGAGAACGTCGCATTTTGACGTATACTCTACCTAAGGCCAAAAATTGTCGCACTAGAAAATGGTGATAGCCTGAGAAATTGACTTATTGCCCCGTTTTCGGTTTTGGGTCCTCTGGTATGTTAGGATAAAAACATTTTAGAACGACAATTTCTTGTCGTAGGGAAACCTTAGTACGCACGGGCTGTGCGTACCAGGTAAAGGGTCACTGGGCACCAGGTAAGAGCTCACTGGGCACCAAGTAAGAGCTCACTGGTCACCAGGTAAGAGCTCACTGGTCACCAGGTAAGAGCTCACTGGGCACCAGGTAAGAGCTCACTGGGCACCAGGTAAGACCTCACTGGGCACCAGGTAAGAGCTCACTGGTCACCAAGTAGGAGCTCACTGGTCACCAAGTAAGAGCTCACTGGTCACCAAGTAAGAGCTCACTGGTCACCAAGTAAGAGCTCACTGGTCACCAAGTAAGAGCTCACTGGTCACCAGATAAGAGCTCACCGGTCACCAAGTAAGAGCTCACTGGTCACCAAGTAAGAGCTCACTGGGCACCAAGTAAGAGCTCACTGGGCACCAAGTAAGAGCTCACTGGGCACCAAGTAAGAGCTCACTGGGCACCAAGTAAGAGCTCACTGGGCACCAGGTAAGAGCTCACTGGGCACCAGCTAAGAGCTCACGGGTCACCAGCTTAGAGCTCACTGGTCCCCAGGTAAGAGCTCACTGAGCACCAAGTAAGAGCCCACCATATAACACCTTACTGTTTATCTAGTGAAAGACGAGGGACTCACCTGAAGGCGCCATCAATGACGACAGCGCCTGAGGCCCCGGGGGCACCCTTGATGTCCTGCTTGATTCCATTCTCGGTCTCGAACGCGTATCTGAAGTTGCCGTCTCCGCTATCCTCCCGAACGTCGCTGATGACTTCAATGATGTCAGCAGGCTTGCCGCCCTGAGGGGCTGCGAGGGCGACGGCGGCCAGGCAGGCGAAGATCACCTGGGACACGCAGCAGAGAGAGAGAGAAAAGTGAATATTAATCACTGCGGGAGAAGAGTGAATGGTCACACTGTCTATTCATCACAAGTGTTATGATAGCTATTAACTGGTATGTAAGTGAGTGGTGACGAAAAAGTGATGATGTGTACAATAGATTAATGGGTTGTAAGCACGGCCTATAAGAGTTCACGTGTACAGAGCACCACGTTTTAGAATACACATTAATTATTCATTTCACATCTTGGCAAGGCCATTTCCCTTCATCCTTCTATCCACTGCTCGTCTTCACTTCCTTGACCTTCTCTGCTCCTTAGCCCTGGCTTCCCTCCTCTTTCAACCTGTCCGCCTCTCCTTCTCTGTTCTACACAACTTCCCTTCCTATTCTCCTCTCCCCTGTTTCATTTGCTTCTTTCCTAGTATCAGTTTCTCTTCCTTCCATCCAACACTTTACTGCCTTTCTGGGGCCACAAACTCAATAATCATCACCAACAAGTCTCCCTTCCCTGAGCCCACCCTGTGTCCAGCAGTACCCTGCTTGGCCTCCCTGTGTCCAGCAGTACCCTGCTTGACCTCCCTGTGAACCATGTGCCCAGTTGTACTCTGCTGGGTCTCCCTCAGCCTCACGTGCCTCCCTGTGCCCTGCTGAGCCTCCCTGTGCACCCTATGCCCTGATGGGCCTTCCTGTGTAGGCCCCACTGTGGTCCGGGTAATTACTCACGAGCTTCATGCTGGCTGTGTTGAGAGTCTGGGTGAGGATGCGCTGTGAGGAGCCACGATGCCGCTTATATACACCTGCTCCAGGACCCAACTCGCCTCACCACCTTCACGTGGTTCCTCGCGTCCGTGGGCGCTCCAAGGACACCTCATGCGTTCCTTAAGACTTGCAGGACAGGTTGCAGGTGGGACAGGCCAGGCAGGCAGACCGGCTCCTTAACTAGCCTTTGCCTCACCTTTTTAAGACTTCAGTGATGGGTAGTGATTTTGATCAATAAGGGGAATTGTATGGGTGAGTGCTGAGTAATCTTCCCGCTGAGTGAGTAATAAAGTTTTACCTAACAATAGCTAGTGATATATACAAATATACTGCTAACAGGTTTAATGTCTCTATTGACTTTGGTAGGGCGCTTACTCAACATATCCTTACTTACTCCAAGTTGATTAACTTTGTTGTTATAGAAATTATGCATCTTGCAAATCCCAAATTTGTTTATATCGAGGTTTTTTGTAGGTTATGGAAGTTATAGTACTATTATTGTTTGTTATTATTTTTATTATTATTATTATTATTATTTGGTCGTCTTAAACTGTATTTAAGGCTGCAAACTTCTGTGAATAATGTAATGATGTGTGTGTGTGTATTCACCTAGTTGTGTTTGCGGGAGTTAAGCTTTGCTCTTTCGGCCCGCCTCTCAACTGTCAATCAACTGTTTACTAACTCCTTTTTTTCCCACACCACACACACACACACACACACCCCAGTAAGCAGCTCGTGACGGCTGACTAACTGTCCCAGGTACCTCTTTACTGTTAGGTAACAGGGGCATTCAGGGTGAAAGAAACTTTGCCCATTTGTTTCTGCCTGGTGCGGGAATCGAACCCGCGCCACAGAATTACGATTACTGCGCGCTATTCACCAGGCTACCAGGCCCCCCCCCCTACACACACACACACATACATGTGTGTGTGTGTGTGTGTGTGTGTGTGTGTGTGTGTGTGTGTGTGCGCGTGTGTGTGTGTGTGTGTTGTGTGTGTGTGTGTGTACTCACCTAGTCGTGCTAGCGGAGGTTGAGATCTGATCTTCGGCCCGCCTCTCAACTGACAATCAATCAACTGTTACAAACTACTATTTTTTCCCCACACTCACACCCACAGACACCAGCCTGTAACCACTGTCCAGCTCCCAGGTACCTATTTACTGCTAGGTAACAAGGGCTTCAGAGGTGAAAGAAACTCTGCCCATTTTGTTTTTGCCATTACCGGGGATGGAATCCGGACCCCAAAGGATTATGAGTTCAGAGCTCTGTTTATTCAGCTATCAGACCCCTTACAGATGTAATCCAGTCCTGACAACAGGAGTAATCCCTGTTACAGGAGGAATACATACCTTTATGTATATATGTGCGTGTGTCTGTGTGTGTTGTGTGTGTGTTCAACTACACATGCATGTCTGGAGGCAAATATATACACCAAAATAAACAAACACCCGCACCCAGTAACCTCGTACAGAGTGTTGTCGTCCCTGGTCGGCCCTCGTGTTGTCCAACTGCTGTGTTCTTCCTCACTAACACACATATTGTACCTGTTATCAGGGAAGAGATTAAATCCTTCATCACAAATGGGATTACAGCAATATTTTGGACTCGGATAACACCTGTTAATAGAAATTGGATTACACCTATTATCAGGAGTGATATATATATATATATATATATATATATGTCTGAGTGGTGGTGCAGAGGGTTAAGGCGTACCTGTTATGCCAGTTGCTGGAAGGCTTCTGTGCTGGCTAGGGTTCGAGTCTCCTGGTGGGAAAGTGTTCTAAAGTTATATATATATATATATATATATATATATATATATATATATATATATATATATATATATATATATATATATATATGTATATATATATATATATATATATATATATATATATATATATATACATATATATATATATATATATATATATATATATATATATACATATATATATATATATATATACATATATATATATATATATATATATATATATATATATATATATATATATATATATATATATGTATATATAAATAAAAATAGAAATGTTCGTTTGTTCAAAATCGCTAATCTCCAAAAGTTCTTAACCGATTGCTTTGAAATTTTCACACAACGTTCCATTCGCATCCGAGCAGGTTTATATATACATACTATATAGATGTCACGTCTGTGACGGTAAAAAAAACATGTTTTGTTTTCATATGAGGGAAATCTTCGAAACCTCTTTACCGATTGCTTTGAAATGTTGACACAACGTTGCAATCGAATAGGCGCATCTTTTTCTATATCTACTATATACATGCCACCACTGTGACAGGTAAAAATATGCACTTTTTGAAAAACAGTGCCATCTGTTGCACATAATGGCAACATGCAAGCTATACTAAATATGTCACGAATTCCATTTCAATGATTCCGATTGCATTGATAAATTATATTTTCATAGATTTCGATTGTTTTTATTTTTTTTAATTATTTTGTGTGACATTGTGTTGGAATTGAGCTTTGTTGTTTATCATACTGTTCATTTCGTGAGTATAAGTATAGATGCCACACCTGTGACAGGTAAAACTATGCTGTTCTTGAAAAACAACGCCATCTGTTGCATGTAAGAGCAACACACATGCTATACTAGAAATGTTGCAATTCCATTTCAATGTTTCTGACTGCATTGATAAATTGAATTTTCATAGATTTTAATTTATTTTCATTTTGGTTTAATTATTTTGTGCGAATTGCGTTGAAATTGAGCTGTGTTGTTTACCAAACCATTCATTTCGTGAGTATAGTTTATTTTAATATTTTTTCTTATTTTCATTTCATTTTTTAACTGTTTTTCTTATATTTCAGTGACGGGAACATTAGATCACTTGATGTTCCCAATTTTCTGATGTAACATCAGACCATTTGGGAAGGCATCGGACGAGGGAGTGGGGAATGGTGGGGAGGACGAGGGAACAAGGGAGGGTGTAATGGTGGCGAAACAAGAGCGAACAGGGAAGATTGGGATGGTGGGGTACGAGTGGATGGGGGAATGGAGAATGGTGGGGAGGACAAAGGGACAGGGGAGTGGGGCATGGTGGAAAGGAAGAGGAGATGGTTGAGTGGGGAATGGTGAGGAGGCCGAGGAGACGGGTGAGGGGGGAATGGTGGGGTGGGACAGGGTAGGTTGCTGTGGCTCAGCAACGCGTGGCTGGGTACTGCTATATATATGTATACATACATAGGTACTGGTATATATATATATATATATATATATATATATATATATATATATATATATATATATATATATATATATATATATATATATATATATATTGTGACGGGAAAGTGTTGGAGTGTAGATGTTCGGCAGTCCTCCAATGGCAGGTGTCAATGCCTGTCACATTTACAAAAAAAAAAAAAATAGACTGCTTGCCTGTTGTCTGTGGTAAGTGAGAGGGAGGAACACGTAAAACACAAAATATGAACAATGAAACTTTAATTAGTATAGAAAACAAAATATGAACAAAGACAATCCCTTGGCTTATGTACAGTGCAAATGAACAAGTCAAAAAACAATATAACATAAATGATTAATAGGAATGAAGTTTACTCTACAATAATATAAATATACAGTGAAAAATAATCAGGTGCTGAGAATATTGGTTATGGCTGAGACCTCCCTTAGTATACAGAGCCAGAGAGTTTAGTATGCCAGAGAGAGATGTCAACTCTTAGAGCACAAAGAATATTCTGAAGTTGATGGCTGGTTCAAGCTCAGACACCGACTCAGGTAGATGGCGTTGAGGTGCAGTGTGCAGGTGTGCAGTGTGCAGGTGTGCAGTCGGCGAGTCACCAATCAGGAGCAGGCAGGCTGGGATGGGTAGTTGTCTGGTTGATGATGAGCCGGCGTGGAGGGAGTGTGGAGTTGGGGGTTTAGGGTACGTTTTGCCTCCTGGTCAAAACGTTTTGTGCTACTGGTGGACGTATCTTGAATATAGCATCTTATACTTGTAGAATAAACGTAACTTTAGGTAGGGAAGAGCAGGCTCAATCTCTCTTGAAAGAGATTATCGTCACAATATATATATATATATATATATTATATATATATATATATATATATATATATATATATATATATATATATATATATATATATATATATATATATATATATATATATATATATATATATATGTCGTACCTAATAGCCAGAACGCACTTCTCAGCCTACTATGCAAGACTCGATTTGCCTAATAAGCCAAGTTTTCATGAATTAATTGTTTTTCGACTATCTAACCTACCTAACCTAACCTAACCTAACTTTTTCGGCTACCTAACCTAACCTACCCTATAAAGATAGGTTAGGTTAGGTTAGGTAGGGTTGGTTAGGTTCGGTCCTATATCTACGTTAATTTTAACTCCAATAAAAAAAATTGACCTCATACAAAATGAAATGAGTAGCTTTATCATTTTATAAGAAAAAAAATTAGAGAAAATATATTAATTCAGGAAAACTTGGCTTATTAGGCAAATCGGGCCTTGCATAGTAGGCTGAGAAGTGTGTTCTGGCTACTAGGTACGACATATATATATATATATATATATATATATATATATATATATATATATTATATATATATATATATATTATATATATAATATATATTCAGGGGTGTGATTACTCCTGTTATCAGGACTGGGAACAGCTATATTCAGTATTGGCAATACATATGTTATCAGGAATGGTATTACAAATACATTCAGGACTGGAATTACACCTATCATTAGGCTAAGGATTACATCTATATTCAAGACTTAGATTTCATCTGTTAACAGGATTGTGATTACATATATATTCAGGACTGGGATTACAGCTGGTTTCCTTGCCAGGATTACACCTGTAATCATGGACTGGAATGACACCTATTATCAGGACTAGGATTATACATGTTATGAGGATTTTCATCAGTGTAGGAATTACAGTTGATACAATGAGGGGATTACTGCTAACATCAGGACTCAGATCATAGTTGATAATATGACTGGGATTACAAATAGAATCAAGACTAGATCCAAAATAGCTGGAATCTGTAGCTGGAATCAG